GCCCCCAGCCGTCCCCCTCCTTCATGTACCCCAAGGGCAGAACTCCAATTCCAGGGGGTGAGGCCCACCTAGTTGGGGTGGTGAGCGGATGCACACCCATGGCATCCACGGAAACTCACTGGCTCCGAGTGTGCGCCGCCTGGGACTGTCCACTCGGGTCCGCACCCGGGCTAGCGCGCCGCGTCCCCTGTTCATCGCTCCAGCATCTCTTGGTATCGGCTGGTGATCCCGGGCCGGAGCTGGGGGCCGGGACCAGGACCGGGCAGCTCTCGGGGTGCGGGGCAATCGCCCTCCCAGTCGCGCTCGGACCGGAACAAAGAAAGCCGAGCCCCCAGAGCGGCCACTCACCGTGCCCGACAGGCCCCCGCGGCCACAGCGCTGGAGCGGACCAGGTTCGACCTGTCTCCTCGGCCGGGAGCCCCGCATCCGACGGTCCCTGTCGCTCACAGCCGCGGCCGCATCCCGTTCCCGCTCCGCGGGCCCTGCTCGGAGCCTGGCTGGGGTGTGGTGCACCCGACTCTCCTCCCTGCGGGGGCCACTCGGACAGGGACGGAGCGGCGAGCGGCCGGGCGCGCGGAAGGAGACCTCTTGTGGTCGCAGCGCACCCTTTAAAGGGCCTGATTTGTTTTGGTTTCGCTATTTTGAAAAGTCCGCCCGAAGTAGCGGGCTCTCTGATTGGATACGGGTGGGACCAGCAGAAAGCTGAGGCCTCCATTCAATCTCCAATCCAGATTGGCTGACTGATTGGTCTTTCAGCTCTGATCGGCTCGCATCATATCTGGACTCTTCCTGCAGGCTTTAGCATCTCTGGGGTCTGGATTGAGCATGCTGTGGGGGTGGGGGTGGGGTGGGGCTTTGGTAGCTGGGGTTACCTGCCCTGGGATCTCCCATGCAGCCTAGTCTAAGCTGGGGAATGACAGCCTCCTGTCACATCTGCCCAGACAATGAGGTAACCTTTGTAATAACGGTGCGCATACGTAAAGAGCTTTCTACGTTCCTTATTCGTCCCACTGATCTACTTACAATAAGCAATCAAGGTATAACACTTTCGGCATGCTTATTGAACTATTCATGAAGAAGATGCCATCATGCCTTGGCGTTTGTTTCAAAAGTTTCCAACTCAGGAAAAAACAAAACTCTCTAGATCAGTTAGTCAAGCTCGAAGTTGAGTTGTTGAACCTGGGCAGTGGGTAGAGGTTTTGTTTCTACTACCTTCATGTACGTGAAATGTTTTCACAATAAAAAACAGTTCAAAGGAGGGACTTTTCAATAAAACTGCGTATTCATGAGGGCACATAAACATCTAATAATTTTAATAATGTTCTTCAGAGATTATGGTTGTACTGTTTTAATAAAGGTTCCCACAGTCCGTTGCTCCTTGGACGTTCATAAATTATCATTTATTGTTCATTATAATTAGCGATGTCATTAAGGTGGAGCAAAAGTCAGACCAACTAGATGCCTTAGGCTGGAAAATTTTCACTAGGGATCTCAATAGCGATGTAGGAGGCGGCCCTGGAACATTTATACTTTCTCTATTTTCTGCTTCCCTGATCCCTACCCCCCCCTTCCAAACATGAAAATCAATAACAAGCACATTCTTGAATCCTAAATAACCAACTCCTGGGAAATGATTTTCTTGCTCTTCTGCATGTTTTCTGTCATTTTGTTACTTGTGAAACAGGGGAAAGCACGTAATAATGCTTCAACAGCTGCTCCCTTCTTCCCAGAGCAGCTAAGGAACTGTACAAATAGATCCCTCTATATATAAACTTGAACTGGACACAGACACATCTGTTTGGAGCACAGAGCATCTAGGGGAAGAGAATCCAAAGAGGTAATTGTCTTGTTTTAGAGAGATGTGACCTTCTTCATTGTTTTAGAGCATAAAGTTAGCATACTACTTATAAATAATTTGCAGGTTACACAATTTTATTCTATGCTTGTTTGATCTTTTAAGCATTATTTGACTATTATTTTAGTTGACATACATCTGGCTGAAGGTCCATACTAATAAACATTAACTGGAACTCATGAGAAGACTAGAGCTAAGATTAGAGTTCAGGTGGCAAATCTTGTGCAGAGGAGAAAGCTCGGTTAACAGTCCACAGAGAAAGAAAAACCTGAGTGCGAACATACACCATGAGAGAAGAGTTTATGACACCAGAACATGGACGGTACTGGGCCTTTGTTCTTCAAGAGGACAGAGGTAGAAAAGGAACAGAAGATAAAATAAGTGATGTGAAAGAGGAAGTGTAAAATGATGTGGCAGACAATGTTATGAACAGAACATATGAGGCAAAAAGGAAGAGATTGAGTCAGATGTGATGATGGCTTACACCTTCTAACACTCAGAAGGTGGAGGCAGGGGGATAACTGAGTTCAGGGCCAAACTGGGGTACAGAGTTGACCCTGTTCTGAAAAAGAAGACGAAAAAGAAACTAAAGAGACAAGAAATTACCCTTTGCTTAGGCCACTAGATGATATAAAGTTATACAAATGTATGTTGTATTTTAAGTGATATGAACAGTCCTCTATGAATATGACAAGAATGTTTTGTGAATGGTGTTGAATTTATTACTACCTGGCACAAGAGAAAACACTTTCCTACTTAATCCACTTAGCTCTTTAAGATTAAATAAGCAATCATTAAACATGTTGGTCTAAGCCTGGTGTGGTGGCACAGTGGGTGGGGGTTGGGGAGGGGGAGAAGCAGGTAGAATTTTGTGAGATTGAGACCAGCCTGGTCTATATAGTGCATTCCAGGACAGCTGGGGGTTCACAGGGAATTACTGCCTCCAAAAATCACTATATTCTACTAGACTTCAAAAGTACAAAAATAAATAAATAAAACAAGGCCCCAAATTGAGCCCTAATATCACTGAAGTAGGGCAAAACTGCTCTCCAGGGGGTCATGATGGTTTTCAGTTCCATTTCTACAGAGATACTGCCTTCAACAATTCACTTTGTCCTGAACTTGACTATCACCACCACATTTACATTACAAGGATTACATCTACTTTATATGTAACAATTAAACACAAATGCTTGTGGAAGCAATTTGCCACACAGTATGTTGCTAGCTTTTTTCTTGAGGATCATGATTGACCTCAAAGAACTCTGGTGGGAAGCAGCCCTGAAAGGAAAGAGCCTCAGGATCCTGGTCACAAAGCAAAGAGACTGAGCTCCCCCCTCTGATTCCTGCTGTTAAGCTGCATGTCTGGGCTGTTTTCTGTAGTAAAAGTGGTTTGCAGCCCAAATTCCTGTTTAGACTGAACTCTGCTAGCAGACCACAAAGGAGACAGGAATGTCTGTTCCAGAGAAAGGAACAGGGAGATTTAATCCAATCCAGGATGCCATCTTGAAGTGATTTGTTTTTTTCAACTAAGAGCTCATTTTTGAATCTGAATCTGGAAAAAGGAGATCATAATAGACAATCCATGCCTTTCCTCAGGCAATCAGCACAATGCAGAAGGAAGCATTTCTGACTTATCATATGGTCTCCTTTCTGACTTGTCCTGGGCACGATCCCCTCAAATCTGAAATTAGCAAACCCCACATTCTACAACCTCTGTACCATATTTATATTGTTGCTATTGTTAATTACCATAGCATGGTGTCTTCCTGGGGGAAGTGCTTATATACCTTCAGGATTAGTGATAATCACAACCCAGTCAATTCCCAGATATTGATGTGCCCAGCCCCCACATTGTGGGAATTATACACACCTTAGAGACTGACTGAATGATTATAGCTGGAGGATCAGTTTTTCTAGACAGCTGGTTCAGCCACTCCCAGTTTTACTAGCTGGCAAGTGAGTTAGCCTGGTACAAAGTGTGTCCGAAACCCCAGAACTCAAATTTCATATGACTCTGGCCAGCATGTTATTATCCAGAACTGTTTCTGTTAGGCTAGAAGTCAACTGGCATAAAGGAAGTGCTTTGATCTGAGGTGGAAAGCTGGCAGAGAAGAGTGCAACTGTGGATGTGCTGAATTCTGAAACCGGAGCTGATTTTCTCAGAACAGTGAGTCTGTCCCATAGCAAATATGCTTTCTTCATTCTAAGAGACTGAATCTCAGTATGATGCTAAGGCTGGCCCTGAGCTCCTGACCTCTAGTGATCCTCCTGTCTCAGTCTGCCAACCACCTTGCACTACAGACTCATGACATGTGACAGCTTCCAAAGTCAGATTTTAAGTGATCAAGACTATATTGTGGGACAGTGTAATTATTATTTATATGATATCTCTCCTTTATAATTTCTTCAAAGAACCATAATTCAACTAGTTCTTGTCTTATCTTAGCATCACAGTGCAATGCAAAGTTGACACTTTGAGCAAAGATCCATTTAGGTAATGTCTATTGAATGTATCATCTTATTCAAAAAGAAATTTTAATGTCTATGAAAGTAATAATCTCTTATTTTTATCTCAAATGAAAAGTCAGTTGGAATGTTTAAGAAGAGTTCTCCATTTTGGCTAGACTGGTTCATCAGCAAGCTACCCACATGGCCTCACTGTATTTTTCTTTCTTTTTTCTCTCTCCCTCTTTCTCTTTCTCTCCTTCCTTCCTTCCTTCCTTCCTTCCTTCCTTCTCTCTATTTCTTTCTCTCTTTCATTTATAGACAGATTTGTACATATGAGAGACTGACCTTGAACTCCTGAAACTCTGGCCTCCACCTCCCAAGTGCCAGGATTATAAGGCACACACCACAACAGTCCACCAACACGCTCTTCTTAAACATATGATGGTTGTTTATATAACAGGCCCCAAACTTAGACTTCATTTTTAACAATATGTACATCATAAAGATACTTAGAAATATACATTTACATGCAAACACATGAATACATAATGTTAACAAAAACAGTGCAAGCAAATAAATAAAACAGCTGTGTGATTGTGTGTGTATGTGTGATGCATGCATGAGAGTGTGCAGGTGCACACACACATGCCCACGCACAGAGGGGCCAGAACCGGAAGTCAGGTGTCTTCTATTGCTCTTCACCTTAGTGCCTTGAGACAACATCTCACTGAATCAGAATCTCACCATCTTGGCTAGGCTGGCCAGCCAGGGAGCTCCAGGACCTGCCTCTCCCCCCTCCCCCCGCCCCGCCAGGCTGGGGCTGAAGGCATGCTCAGCCATGGTTGGCTTCAGTAGCACGTCTTCAATTAAAAAGATATTCTGAAATTTTATTACCTCACGCACATGTGCACTGTGTGTGCACATGTGCATGTGTGATGAATATGTGCCCTCTCTGACAGGTTGCTTATGAATGAAATGGATTCTCCAGTACTGTCCTTTCAACAGAAGAATCCATTTCATAAGCTTATCATTTGGAACCACTGACTAGAGCTCTGAATTATCAATTTGTGCAAAAATCAAGTTAAACACATTTAACTTAAAGAAAGATTAAATATGCACCCCTCCAAGTCAAAATAGATTTTAGTGAAGTATTCAAAATTCCAAGTTTATTTTTCTCTCTACAACAGCTTGTCCTCCTCCTACCATCCTGACCAATTTCAAACCAGCTTTGCTTTAAAATATAAAAAAGATATTTTATTTGTAATTAAAAAAAAAAAACATAAAAATGGGGGAGGAGAAATGACTCAGTGCTTAAAAGCACTGGCTGTTCCTGCAGA